TGTTATTTTGATCGATAAACTGCGGTAAATACTAAAACATTATAAACATTCATTGGGAATTGTATCTACTCAGAGTTGTACACTTCTCTGAAGTGAATTCACCGACAAGGGCTTCCTTTCGTAATGTAGTTACTTCTCTTTTCATTTTTCTTTAAATTAAACTTATTCTGAATGTATTCATTCTACTCTACCACATTTCTTATACTGTATATCTTTGAAAAAAAGGTGAAATATTTATATTTCTTTTCAGTAATACAGAACAAAGTAATGTAAAAATTATTTTTTTTTGTGGTAAAATAAAAAGTAGCATTCCAAGAATATCTCACATTTTTATTGTTTTTATCTTTTTTAAATAAATGTAACAGTAAAAACAAAACTGAGGACCGAAAATGGATGTTATGATGCAGGAAGGATATGAAGTCTATAACGCCTACGCAACATTTATTATTACTTTTTCAAGTAAATTTAAATGTAATTATTTGTCTAATTGAATGTACAACTGGTTAGAGGTTAACACATGTTGGTACAAATGAAAATTACTTCAAATCAAACATTTTCTGCTTTGTAAGGATTTAATTTGGCATACACTGAGGAAACCATCAGATGGCATCATCTAGTGGAACCCGGTAGCACGGTGGTTAAGATGCTAGCCGACCATGCACATGGTCCGGGGTCCAATCCCCGGCCAACGCACACCTGACATCAATGGTCGGCCTGCTAAATTTGGGCTACCGATATCATATGCTGAAAATTCCATATATGTACCCAAATACTGTGAAATCAAGCTATAACAAAAAATATAAAAAATGGAAGGCGAGGAGTGGGACATTTGTGGGTGACATGGAGGAGATCGTGTGAGAACGAGACGAGAGACTATTGGCTGTCGTGGTCCCAGCTAAATAGGATAGCATAAAATGGAACAAAGTGGAGAAGTGCTGTTAAAGCTATATGTTCCACTCGGAATCCAAGGGAACAATAATAATATTGTAACAGTAGAAGGTAAGACAAGGAAGCAAAGATGTATTTTCAAGTGATCAAACAGCTACTTATATATATATATAGTTTTATATTCTTTAACCATTCATTGAGCATATTTTTTTGGCTTACATTAAACGACATGAAATAGAATGTTCAAATACATAGTATTATGTTGCTAATGTCGTATTGAACTGTGAGAATATGTTAGAATAACATTCCGTTGGAACACATTGTCTGTACCACTTCACCACAATATTATAATAATAAAGATTTCTTTCTCTAGCTGATCCATCCCTTAGTGGCATTAAAAGGCTCTTGGATTATACTGGACGTCAAATCTTCCTAAGCATTGATTTACTCAAGGAATTCTCGACATGACAGTTAACATTACGCCGTTCATAAAATGCTTTAAACGCATGAATATCCACTTTGATTATCTAGGAATAAAGAATGACTTTTTTCATCTAAAATGACGAGTGATTACACAAGTTAAGAAGTCTGTTATTTAATAACCATGCGTTAGTGATTCTGCGATAAAATGCTCGCTAACTATGCATGTGATAAGGGGTTCAATCCCCCACCGACGCATTCTTAAACGTCACTTAGCCGGTAGTAAATCCCATAAAGGCGGAATTTTGAGCTTTTGGCAAACAACCCCGACCAGTACAAAGAAAGAATATCACTTCTATTGAAAATTCAAAGCTCAGAGCTTGAAGCCACATGTTAAAAAAATAAATGTTAAGTAAGCAACTATTATCTCAAAGTATCACATACTACACAGGTGACTGAAGAGATCTTGTACAATTAATATGGTCCGAAATATTCATCGAAAATATATCTAAAATGGCACATGCTTAAGAATTATGATAGTTTCGTAAGGAATTTTACAGAAAAACAGAAAAGGTTTTTCTTATTCAATCTTTCATCTGTAGAATTAGTTGCAGTATTAAGGTAGAATAGGTAACTCTTTATGAGCATTTAAAAGCGCTTAATGAAGCATGAACAAGAGTGTTTGCAAGTACAAAAGGAGTCTTTCTAAAGTTTGGTTTGTAAGGGTTTCTTATGTTTTACGAGTTGATCACGGACTGATATCAGTTAGAGAACCATTGAAAACCAGCACTGGAGTACTGGACAGCTGTTTCACCATAGTTTGGGAATCATCGGCAGTACGCACCCACTGGGACCTTCCAGTTACGAGGCAAGCTCGTAAACCTACTCGTAAAAACAAAACTAACCTTTACAAACCAAACTTTAGAAAATTAATCTGATGCTCGCTAATGACTTGCTACAGGATGGAGTTTCCTGGAGTTCTCGTGAGAAGTCGTGACCAGTGAGGTCCAATTAGATGTCACGTGTGTGGATGGATGTCCCACCAACGACAATAGTTGGGGTCGCGCTAAATCACGAATTGGTAGAAGTTAGAATTCATGGGCTAGCCATTGAATCGGGTCCCAGTGGCTGAATGGTATACGAGCTTGCCTTGTAACCAGAAGGTCCTGGGTTCGAATCCCAGTGGGTGCGTACTGCCAATGATTCCCAAACTAGGATGAAACAGCAGCTGTCCAGTACTCCCTGGTTTTGAATGGTCCTCTAACTGACATCAGTCCGTGATCAACTCGTAAAAACAAAAGGAGTCACTGACAGTTATCTTAGTAGCAGTATTATTAGCTAGCATTGTTCCCTTGGGTTCCGAGTAAAACATAGGGCACATCTCCATTTTAACCTAGTTGCTGCAGTCTTCTTTAACTGGCTCCACGCGTGGCAATAAACTTTCATCTCCTCCATATCACCATCTGACTCATCATTTCGCATTAGGGTTCCACTATACAGCCTGCCTCACGATGTCACTCAGCGGTTTTCTCAGGGTATGTCCTATTCATCTCCATCTCCTTCAGCAAATTTTTTGAGTAATAGGTTCCTGACTGGTCCCAGTGACTGGATGGTCAACATCCTCGCTTTGTAACCTAGATGTTCTGGGTGTAGACACCTAGTAGTTATATTGAAACAGCTATGCAATACTTCTTGGTTTCTAAGGATTCTCCAACTGACATCAATCTGTCATCAAATTAAATACACTTCCTCTTTACATATATGATAATAATACTACAGTAGTCTAAATATTATGAAAAATATAGCAGTGAATTGTGAAAAGTCAAACTTTGAACCGTTTTTATCATTTTGTGATTTCTTTTCCTTCTAGTATGACTGAATCTCGTAAAACTTTCTGTATTAACCAACGGTTATCAACAGTATAACAGTGGCTTACAGAATTAACACATGTCTTCTTATTATCAACTCGTTTTAGTGTGCTTCTTTTTGGTTTATTCTTCTTTCTATGACGAATTTCGTGAGTATTACTTAATAAGAATTTCTATTACTTCTATGTTGGAAAAAACGACTCTCTTTCCAAATTATTTGTAATGGAACTTAAAAAGAAAACTGCACGTCTTACTACTGTAGTAAACAAATTTGTGTGATTATTAGCTGGAAATTAAACGTGATTAGAATTATTATTTTGTAGGGATTTTGCTTGATTAGTTAGGGATTTCTTTATGAGCTGGCATCAGTTAGAGTACCACTGGAAAACCTGCAGGGAGTACTGGACAGCCAGCTGTTCCGTCAGACTAGTTTGAGACTCTTCATCAATACGCACCCACCACCGCGGTTCGAAACCAGGACCTTCTCGTTACAAGGTCACCAGGCTCGTAGACCAGTAAGCCACTGGGATCCGATCAAATGACCAGCCCATGAATTCTAACTTCTACCGATTCGCGGCATAGCGAGACCAATTCTCAATGTCGTCTTCTATGAGTTACTACCTCACCTTCAATCTGCTTTACTCTACTGGTCATGACTTCCCACTAGAACACCAGGTTAACTGCCTGAATAGAGCTAGTCGCTACTGATCATCAGATTAATTTTCAAGTATTGGTTTTGTAAGGATTTTGTTTGAGTGGTTTAAGGGTTTCATCATGAGCTGACATCAGTTAGAGAACCATTGGACGAAACAACTGCCCAGTACTCCCAGCTGGTTTTCCAATTCTTGTCTAACTGATATCAGCTCATGATGAGGTCCTCCAAATAAAATGACTATGTTTATGATATGTAATAAATTTTATCTTTTAAATTCATTTTAGATCTGTAATATCTGAAGTTCTTGAAGACTGACTGGTAGTGAAAAAAGAATAATCTTTTCGATAACCTCCTGTGAGTCAGATTCTACGGTTATATGACCACATTAATTATTGTTATTAACAACATTACCGTTTGAAATAAAAAAAACGCATCAGCAATATGAATAGATAACAGTTCAAAAGCATCTTTAAGTGATAATTTGCATTAATAAACCACTAAACTGAATATCAGGTAAATTAAAAAGAAAGTAATACAGAATTTCTGAATTTATAGTTTCCTTAGCAGTCTAGGCGGATAGTAATAGTGGCCGAACCTGTTGCTTTTGGTTTTTTAACAGTGCTATAATTGATGATTTCTCTTGAGGGAATTCACACTGAAATGCACTATATGTTAATAACGTATTCAACGTCCAAATGCCATCTTTAGGCAGCTACCTTAATTGTTTATAACTCAAATACTCAGGACTTATTTATGTGCTAATCTTTCTTTTCTGAAACAAAGGAAAAGATTCGTAGCTCAGGGGAATAATTATTATCGATGTGGTGGTGTTCTCTGAGTTGAGCAGTATAATTTGCAAAGCAGTCATCGTCTCACCGGACAACATCTTCAGTGCAGACTTTAAATAGGTTCACTTCATACTGAAGTGAGCGCTAAAGATACTGTCTAGAAAAAACAATGAAAGCTTTGCAATTTAATCATCCAGTTCAAAGGACTCAACCTCATCAAAATATATATTTGGTTTTCCTACAGAATATAGCTGGAAGCGTGATTTATACAACTCCTATACACTATCTTATTGGCTTTGAGAAGAAGAGTTATAAAAATGAATTGGCCAATGACAAATGCTCAGAAAAAATAAAAAAGTTAATTTAGTAAATAAATAAATAGTTTTCTGAAATCAGTACAAGTTTCTGAATTATTAAATATTTTGTTAAATATATACATATATACCTAACTTACACTTATATCTATTTGGACTCAAAATGATCAAACTTTTCCTTGGTAAGTCTTTGGACAAAACTTTTATGATTATTACTATTATTGTTATTCCCTTGGGTTGCAAAAAAGGAACATAGAGTTTCAACAACGTATTTTCAATTTCTTCTATTTTCTGCCATCCTCTTCAGCTGGCTGAGCCCATGATTGTCTATAATCTCTATCTCCTCCTTCAAACCACACGATCTACTCTATATCACCCTCGTACTGACGATACAATAGTTGCCGCTTCCCATCGGGAATCCCCTCGAGCTATGGCTGGCATTGCGCGCGATGGCCTCATCAACAATATATACCCGATCCATTTTCTCCTACATATTTGTTCAGCGATCAGCTCTTGCCTGTTAGTTTGTTCCCAGTCAGAGTTTCTTGTTGTTAATTCTTTCCGGCCAGCTGGCCATTTGATTTTCGACATATAGCCAGCGAAGCGGGCAGCTGTTAATGAAAGTCTGCAACTGCCTGTTGGAAATCCTTCTCGTGACACACAGTGCAAGTTTCTGACCCGTATAGAACGGCTGGCTGACTGATTTTACATTTGTGTTGAAAATCTGAATGTTTTTGTTTATGCTGAGTGCATTGCAGAAGATTTTCAAATTGATTTCAGGTTGATGAAGGCGTATCTTGACTTTCTGATTCTGGCTGGCTGGTTGGCTCTGACATTTTCGTCTATTCCGCTAGCCTGTATTTGAAACGATACTAGCTGTCTAGTTTAGTGAAGGAAATAACCTCTGTCAAATCTCTCAATTAGGTGACAATTAGTGCTGGTTGTTTTTTTATTGCTGTTCGTTGGTTATCTTTCATAACTTGTGGTAAAAAATAATCAAGACAATATCATAATAAGGAAATGTTCTAAGCATGATTTTACAGGAATTTCGTGAATTTCAAGATAGAAATCTTAACCAATTGATATCAGTTAAAGAAACACTAGTAGGGACACGACAAAAGCGAGTAACATCTCCCTGGTCTATAATAATTCAACTATATACATTCATGCTCTGACTAAGAATTGACACTGCAGGATACTAAGCAAGAAATCTATTATTCGAATTCTGGTTTATGGATTCCAAGGCAAAATTGACATCAGTCGGAATACAGTAGATAGATTCAAATGCCCCACTAACATCGATCTTATTTTCAGATGAAGTAAAATACAGCTGAAAACAAATCTCCTCCATCCCTCAACTAGCCACACAGGTTCATATTGAAGAATCCGATGATAAACATGCCTCATCAGATGCCCAATATAACTGACCTGACACGAGCAGTCAAAGTGACAGATACTGATAGATAGAGGAGGTAGGTAGACAGCTAGACAACCTATCATTAACTGTCGAAAGTAAGCTAGATATGATTATGAACAGGACAGTCGACTTCAATATGACATTCAATACTCTCTATACTGCATTACTCAAGCACTGTGTTATCATCTCACTAATATTATCACCAAAATACTGTGGTTATAAGAATACGATCTTCTTCAGAACTTTTCATACCTTCGCCTTTATCGAATTCAAATTCATATCCTTGTCAATGAACTTCTCTGGATAACCATTTCCACTCAGTTATTCTTTCACAATATCACGTTATTCATTAATATAGTCACCAGAGTAGATTTGAGTTGCTCTGTCAACCAAACTCTTCATTAAAAAGCATTTATATTTTAGAGGTACAGTGTTCGAGAAATGGGTATACTGACGAGTCCATGTAGGCTTTCTATACACATATATACTCCTTCTCTCTTATTCCACCATCCTCTTTTCTATTCATTGTCATGTCTAGGAATGAAATACAAGCATTTATTTCTCTCATTCACATGACTTTCATAATGTGGCCATCAACGTTTTAACTCATTAACTCTCTCATAAATTTTTTTCAATATTTTATCTGATATTCAATTTCGTACTACTAAACTTTTTCATGCTTATCATCACTTACACATATTTTCTAAACTGTTTTTTAATCATGTAAATGGGAATTTTTGTTACATCTGACTTTAATCAACCAAAAAAGAGAAAAAGCTACTGGTTCCTACTCTACGTAATATATTTTGACAGCTAAAACTGATGGATACGGACATCGAAAGTATTAACATTAGAATTCCTAGGCATCTTAACGTGTGCACTGTTTAGTTTGAAATATTTTAACTTTTACTATGTAGCTGCCGTCGTCTTACCCAAGATAGAAAAGGCACCAGTCAAGTGAATGGTCTTAGGTTAGAGTAAATTTGATATATATATATATCTTCGCATATACTGTGATTATTAATGAATAAGGAATGCTTAAATGTCATGGAGTGAACTTCTACTGAAGCTCAAAGTATTTTTCATAGACAAAATGAAAGTATCGTCGTATATAGTCTGAACACTGTTGACTATTCTATAATAAGTGATTAAAAATGCTCATTAAAATTTTTTTCAAAAGAATGGTTACTGAACAAAGAATACTCTTTTCGATAACTTCATCATCAGGTTCTACAGTTATATATATATGTATATATATAATAGTAAATCAACGAATTAGTGTTATTAACAACGTTAATGTTGTTTGAATAACATCGAATCAATAATATCAATCGATTACAGTTCAATAGCATCAACATAACAATAAACTGAATGTCCGAAAAATTAAGAAAGATTATTATACAGATTCATGAATTTATAGTGTCTACTGAAGGTCGGCCATGTCAGTAGTGTTGGCTGGACTTGCTTCTTCTGCACATTAAGCACTGGTTGTTTCACGCGAATCGCAATAGCCTCTGCTGTTTGGAGTATGCGGTGCTTCGGTGTTTTTGGCAGTTTATGTGCCACCCGGTAGATGATAGAGAAGGATTTTTCAATGCTGGCTTTGTCCCCGGTTTGGACCAGATTGCCCAATATCGAACTGTTAATGGTTTTCACTACACCTTTACTCAGCCATACTGGGAGATGCTCTCTATCACGAAATATCAAGTTCCTAGAGCAAAGGCAGATAAAACTAGCTCCACAAACGCAGTTGAACTGTTAGAAACAATTGGAAGTGGCAAGTCTTGGTACTTCATCTTTCAATCGAGGAATCACCATCGGCCGTGCAGAGAATAATACGTGTAGTGTGCCAGCATTGAAAGTTCTTTGAACTGATTTTCTTAATTTCTTCGTAATTATTTCGCTTAGTATATCGCCCTTGAATTGCAGTCGTTTGCATAAACGCTTCTTGTTTACGCATAGTGAGTAGTCCTTTTCCGCTTTCTTTGTCATGTGTTTCTTGATAAATTTGCCAGGATAGCTATTTTCAATCAAGGTATCATATACAATGCTTATAATATCTTATTCAAAATACACCATTTTATAGGAAACTTCTTAAAGTGTATACAAAATAATTCTTTTTGTAATTTGTGGTAGATGATACAGTTTGAATTTTCTTAAGTCTTAAATCTATAATTCGCAAATTACACAACTTGATATGAAAATTCACCACTGAAAAGTTTCATATCACAGTGTGTAACCAGCTTCATAATACAAATAGCAATGAAGAAATCAAGCAGCATAGACAGGTGGCACTCACTACTTATTCGTATAAGTGGTTGGAGACCACTAGGAGGTGTAATTTTCAAGTGTTAGTTTTCAGGGATTTGACTGATTTGAAGAAGTTAGTTCACGAAATTACATCAGTCAGAGAAATACTAAAAATCACAGAATACTGGCTGCCAACACAATGTCTGAATGGTCAACTGGCTTATCTCTTAACCTGATGGTCCTGAGTTCAATCCTTATCAGTAGGACCATGGATGTTAGTACTGCTGAAAAGTCCGAAATTAGCCCTTAACAGATATCCAGTATTTCCTGCTTTTCAGTTCCTGATCTCAAATGAAATATGATCTAATTTTTTATCACCTACGCAGTTCATTTTCAAACATAAACTGTCTGAATTTCAAAGCAAAATGCTAAAGCCGACAATCTTATTCAATGTAATCTTGTTATATTATAGCTGTCAACTCTCAGTTACATGCTCAGAACTTTAGCTAAATTCAATTCACTTTTAAATACTCATTTACGTTAAGTTTATATAAACATACTATAGTATTTTTCCGAGGAGAATACAAAGCTTTAGGTTGGTTTGAAAAATCATATTAGGACTGTAGACACTTGTACTGCTTTCCATTTACTATCAGTTTATTTCTAAATATTTTATTTTATTTTGAATTCCACGTATTCATTAACTTCGAGTTCCTATAAGACTGCAACATTTAAAGATTCACAGTAACTCTTAATTTTGTGATCTCATGAATCATATTGCAAAAATATTTGAATATTATTTCCTAACATTACACTTTAATGTGATAGGCATTTTTAATACTCCTTATAGAACTGCTTCCAGAATACTGACTTTAAAACACCAAATTATTTTAATTCTCTGTCACGGTGCTAATCAAAAATTATAAAATATAAGAATTATTACAGTTTGTTTGGAAGAAGCTGAGTGAATTTCACTATTCGCAATAAAGTTCAGGCTTTATCTCACTTGCCTAGAAATCAAGCGTTCTGTAGTTATTTTCCATTCTTGAAGTTCCGAAGGGGACAAAGAGTTTCAGGAATTGAAGTTTCAGTAGCGATTGTGTTGTATTTGTGGGGTTGGGCTGCTAGCTCAACACAACAGCCATCCTTCTTTTCCGGGTTTATCACCAATCACCTGAGCAAGGATTAGGAGTGTGTTGGTCGGGAATCGAACCTGAACGTCCAGAGTGGCTGGTGAGCATTCTAACGATTCAGTAAGCCACAGGCACAAAAATTTTTTATAAATTACAAAATTAACTAAGTTTTGTACAAGTGTATCCACAGAGTAGAAATGTCTCGAAAATAGGGCTCGTTTTGTAGAATAAATTTAGACATTTAACTGATACATTTCGATATTAATGGGCAAGGTATAGAAGCCAAAAATTCCCATTTAGACGCTTAAAAAACAGTTTAGAAAATATGTGTAAGTGATGATAAGCATGAAAAAGTTTAATAATACGAAATTGAATATCAGAT